CCTACACGAGATGAGGCAGGATAAAGAGGGATAATCCCCCTCGATCCCAAATCATTGAGGCCAATTTCTAGCCATAGAATAATGGCGCGACCCTGGGTGATCACCCCAACGACATCACCCCAACGACATCACCCCCCCCCCTGCCAGCTAACCTTTTCTGTTTCAGAGACCGCCAGGATCAAGAAACGAAGACACACACACATACACACCCCCCTATACCCTCCTTACCTCCCCCTTCCCGCGCTAGCTTAAGGGCCGCCTTAGCAAAGCGCATCCCAGGCTGCATAGCCGCACCACCCTACCCAACCATGAACATGACACCACCCCCGGGGTTTACGCAGACGAGCCGGCGAAGCAAGAAGAGCGCCAGAAGAAAGGGCCCTAGTCGGCAGGGCTCAGCCAGGACAAAAGGAGGTCCCACAAAGCGCCTACACCGGCCGCATTTGCGGTCGGGGTAGACGACGGATGGGGCCCACCCACGAAGGCTGTCCAGGCCTACACGAGATGAGGCAGGATAAAGAGGGATAATCCCCCTCGATCCCAAATCATTGAGGCCAATTTCTAGCCATGGAATAATGGCGCATTCTATATACCCACTACTCTTTGCACAAATATACCTTTTTTGTTTTCATGATTTGATTTGTTGTGGTTGACAGGTTGACAGTTAAGAAAAGTTATACAATCAATTTATAGTCCCAGTCAAGTAAATTTTATTTACAATTTGCACTATGGCTTTATCCTTAATTTTAAGAAACACCGCTAAATTGCAAGGTACCTATTAAAAAAATATAATTTTTAAGTTATAATTTGAATTACATAATGGAATATATTTGTAGCTCTTCCAAAAGCATCGAAATGTGTAATGTTTACTAATAATGTAAGACCTTTTTCACAAATCTTAACGCCGTTAAATAAAAGTCCAATATCTGCAAGTAAATCAAAAATTAATACAGTTGTTATTCGAAGCATGTCAGGAGATCACAGTAAGTTATGGCCTATTGAAAAAGCTGTATCTATTGCTTTGCTCGGACTAGTTCCGGCAACATTTTTAACCCCAAATATTGTCCTTGATAATTTATTGGCTGTTGCGGTCGTGGCACACTTCCACTGGTAAGAAATCGTTTTTCATATATGATGATTGTTATAATATAAATTATTTTAAGGGGCTTGGAAGCATGTGTAATCGATTATGTAAGACCTATCATTTTTGGCCCCGTGATTCCAAAAATTGTTCTCGGTTTGTTATATGTCATCTCTGCTGCAACTTTAGGAGGTCTTTTATATTACAATCACAATTGCATTGGTATTGGAAAAACTGGTAGAAGATTTTGGGAAATTAAATGTTAATATTTTTTTTGTCAAGTGCCTTCTCGGTGTATTGTGTAAACTGTAACTACTTTGTGTGATTAATAAAACTTTTCTTGTAGCTTTTGAACAATATTTTTCAAGTATTTTTAAGGCTAGGTAAAAGATAATATGCCGTTTTAATTGCGACCTCTGAACTTTTTTGCAGCAAATAATTATCAAGTAGTTCGTAAATATTGCATTAATGAGAATGTCAAGAATAAGTAAAATTAGCAAAGGTGCAAAGGTAGGTAACTTTATAAAGTACAGCCAATATTAATGTTATATTGATTGAATAAAGGTTAGGTATTAAGAATGTATCGAATTTACTTTTACTTTCTAGTCATTTACAGTTATGATTTCTAATTCAGTAAATTTATAAGTGAAATGTGTCAATAATGTCAATGGTGGTACTCCTAAATAAAAAGAAAAAAGGAAAATCAATGCTATATAAATCAAATGTTTAAAATTTGGCTTTTGAATGTTACAAATTTTAGATATTGTGAAGAAAATGTTTGCAAGAGTGACTTTTTATCCTACCTTAGTGTATAATGTGGTTATGGAAAAACTCTCTCCTAGGCAATGGTACAACAGAATAGATGACACAGTAATTTTAGGTGCTCTACCATTTCCTAGTATGACCAAAGAGGTATGTAATTTATAATTTACAAACTTTTAGTGAATGGTAAGAAATGAATAAGTATGCAACAAAATAAATCCATGTGTACCAATCTAAAGTCATATTTTATGATTATTATTACTAGGTCAATATTCGACCTTGACCCAATTGTGAAACATGGACAAATTTTTTATTTTTCTCAAACGAAAAATACATATTCGAGAACTTTTATAGAGTATCTAGCTATACCCATATGACTAAATAAATAGGTACTCATATGGGTATACCAAAAGAGAAATCTCAATCATGTACTTTTATTGTTGAGATGAACAACAATAATTACTACTCTCTCAACTTGATGTAGGTAGCAAAAAAAAAATACACTGTACTGATAATGCAAATATTTTGCTTGGAGTTTCTTCCATTCTTATTTACTTTTGCTGAAAATATATTCAACTCAAAAACGTGTTGGAAAATTTTGTAATGAATGTTATGTATGAAATGAAACTTGTGCAAGTATGTTCTAAATTCATATTATACAATTTAATTTATGTAAGAATTTTGTTTCAGCTTACAGAAAAAGAACATGTAAAAGCTGTTGTGTCAATGAATGAAAATTATGAGTTAATGATGGCCAATGATCAAAAGGTACGTTGTTTTAATTATGAGTAGAGTAGTATTTTTTTGGAAATAATTTTGAGCTAAAATACTGGAAGGCTTGTACTAGGTTCTGCCTCAACCAATTTATTTGTTCTTCTTGATAAACATTTAGCCCATGTGGACGTCCGACTAGTATTTTTCGCAGATTTAAATCACCTATATCCAGTAATCGTTGCTCAACGTGTCTTATAGTTTTTGCATTGAGGTGTTGACGATTCGGGAGCCTTTCCTCTTATGCCCTTGCCGCAGCAGAAGCATGACATTCACCCAAAGTTTTCAACATAACGATAGCTTATTTGCAATAAGACGTAACCCATAGTGAGCTACGAGCTGTGTTATTTGTCATCTTCTTGTGATGGTTCATTGTTTATGTGTTATTTTAAAATAACACCACCGTGATTCCGCACTTACAATTGGTTTAAGAGCTTACGTGGAATTATCACGTGGCGCAGAACTGGTTGTTCAATTAATTGGCGCGAAAACCTCTTATTTGAAAAGAATGTGGGTTACGTCTTATTGCAAATAAGCCATCGATAATTCGATTACAATAGAATCTTTCCATTTTTGACACACAAAATTCAAAGACAGATTAATTACAGCTGTGACAGAATGTCTGATTGTCACAGCATACTAGATTACTTCGTTTTAATACAATAATAATTAATCTGTTATAGCCAGAACAAAAAAGTAATGTAATCAGTGTATGTTATCAGTGGCGGGTAAACATGGCTCAGTTGGCATAGTACTCTTCACTCTCCTAAGCTGTGAAAAAAACCATTCTTTGTATTATTAAGTGTAATAATTGGTATATTTGAAAGATAAAGTTTGCAGAAAAATAACAGGAAAACTGTAAATATAGTAGTTTTTATTCAGGTTGCTATTGTGGTTGTAATGGAGCAACGAACAATACCAAGAGTCAGTCCCCTGATTAAAAATCCCATAAGCATAAACCTGTTTTGAGAAAAAAAATATGGATATTCACTTTTTTAATTTTTGGAGTAATTTTTTTGAATAACAACAGAAAAACAATCGGTAAATTTTCCACTTTTGATTTTCGATTTACTTTTGTCCTCTTAATCAAATCCCATAGGGTGGGCGTCACTTTTGAGACCCCCTTGGGATAGCCAGTTTTATTAAAAACTGTCTTTCAGACATAGCAAACATTTTGCCAGGTTGGTGAAAATTTTGTTAAGCAGGGTCCCCCTGGCAATATATTTTTTTTATGATATATAAACAGTTAAAATAAGTCTGAGCCAAAGCCAACATTGGCCTTTCTTTCATGGTATACATAAGTAATATCTGGCAAAAATTAGAGTGGTCATATTGTGATGAAGCATGGGAGACATTGTTTCTTAGGGAATGACTTCTAGATCAATATAGACAATTTTTGTGATGAAAAAAAATTGTGAAATATGTAAATTAAAGTTGGGATGTCCTATCCTGAGGTCTCAAAAAGGATTGCGAATATATTTGCAGTATTTTTTTTCGTTTTTTCACAACATTCAGTTTTCTTAAAGTTATACTATGTTATATTATGAAGTTCGAAAAATAGAATGTCGATACCGAATTAAAACTTAAATACCATCACTATAAAGAAAATTTAATTTTGCAATCGGTTTTCATTGAAACAATAATATGAGTTCCGTGCGTCATTATCAAAATATGTGATTTTTAATAGTCGTCTGTGGTAATTAAACAGGCGATTGTCACAGAAATATCCTATAATTTAAGGACCTCTGTCTTTTTTGGGTCAATATTTCAGAGGAAATTAATTTAATAGATGTTTGAACGAAATTCCATTTGGTTTAAAACAAGTAAACTCACAACTGTTCAAGTCACTTTTTCAATTATTAAAATATTGTTTTTTTAGGCCTGGAAAAAAGTAGGTGTGGACTTTTTACAATTGGCAACTACAGATATCTTTGCAACACCTTGTCAAAGCAAGCTAGTCGAAGGTGTGCGATTTATCAATAAATATGTTAACACCAATAATATAGCCAATGGTATATCAAAAACTTCAGTTTATATACATTGCAAGGCAGGAAGAACACGAAGTGCCACTTTAGTAGGCTGCTACCTAATGCATGTAAGATTATTTTTTTATAATTGGATGATATTACTCATAGTTATTTAACAAGATTTAGTAATCATAGGCTGTTAATACACCTTAAGTAAATATTTCATTTGTGTTTACTAGGACTGAATTAATTTTGAGGGATTTTTTTGTAAAATCAAGGCTTTATTGTGAAAAATTGTGTACATTATTTTTTTTCAAAGATTATCCATCTCTGGCCACTACTTTTTATCCATCTTTCTGCATGTGCATTCTGTATCGAAAGAACAACTCATCTTTTGATGAGTTGATTGGACCAATCGATCCAATTTTTTGTCTTTGTAATATTGGAAGCACTTCTTAACCAGACCATGTTTCATGGATCGGAACAAGTAGTTATCCGATAGAGTAATATCTGGTAAATATGAAGGGTGTGGTAAAACATCCCATTTCAGCGTTTCTAAGTATTTTTTGACTTCATAGGCAACAAGTGTTGTCATGTTGAAAAATTACTTTATCATGCCTTTGTTCGAATTGGGTCTGTTTTTCCTTTGATGCACAGCTCAAACGCATCAGTTTTGTTCAGTAGTGTTCACCAGTGATGGCTTCATTTGGTTGAAGCAGCTTATAGTACACAACACCAAAGCTGGTTCCATCAAATACAGGGCACGAGCTTCAAACCATGAATATTCGGCCTTACCGTCGATGTTGATGCAAGACCACGATTTTTTAGGCTTAGAATTATCATAACATATCCATTTTTCATCGTGTGACAATACGATGTAAAAAAACCCTGTGCTTTTTGCCACTGAAGTAATTGTTCGCACATGAAAAATCCTTATTCAACATCACTAGATTTCAATTTTCTTGCTTTTGAATCATACCGAGTGTATTTAAACGTTTGGAAACTGTTGTGCAATCAGCATTCAACAATTCAGCAAGTTTATCTTGCATTTGACATGAATCTTGATCAAGTAATGCCTCCAGTTCCTCATCTTCAAACTTTTTCGGTTGACCAGGCCGTTCTTTGTCAACTGTATCGAAATCACTACTATTAAAACGTTGAAACCAATACTAATACGTTTTTATCGATGGAGTGTGTCCACGGTAAGTTTTTAACAGCACTCAATGACTTACTTTCCGCAGCACTTTTCTTTGAATTAAACAGAAAAAGTAAAACTTCCCACACATGGTGTTTTGTTGCTTGTAATTCAACACCTTTGGAGCTGAGAAAAAATATGTTGTTTCCACTTCAGCAAAATAACACAATAAAAAGTAAAGCCTAATGACAGAGCTTTGACATGATTATAGTTACAGAAGTGTCCGATGCGATATAGCATAAGTTATGCGTTCTATTATAAATACCTTAAAATTAATTCACAGCCCTTGTACATAATAACCTTTCTTTTATAATTCACCTCTGTATTTTGAGCATAATTATCTGCTGTAATCTTATTTTGACAATTCCTATTTTTACATTATTTATAAAAGCTTCTGTATATGGGAAACGTGGATGCTGTAAGAATTGTAAAAATATGCGAATTCAGCTTGTCAAAAAGATGAATTATTACTAAGAGCTTGTAATTTGACCATTTTGTACATACCTGTTCTGTATATTTCATCTATTTACATTATTTTAAGAAAAATATTAGATCAACTAGTCTGTAGCAACAAATCTGTTACAGAGGTATAATTGGACACCAGAACAAGCAGTTAACCACATGAAAGAGAAACGACCACATATTTTATTACACAGCAAACAGTGGGAAGCGTTAGAAATATTTTATAAACATAATATGAATACTATAAATACTTAATGGAAGTATGAAAGTTTATCCAAATATGAAATATTACAATTAATGTTTTAAAATTTAAGACTGTCAAATCATTTCTAGAAGTTAATTAAAATCATATTGCAATTTACTTTGGCTATTTATTTGTCAATATTCCTCGTCCAATTTTCTAATTTGTTGAGATGCAAATTATCCAATAAAAGAAAAACTATTTAAGAAATGTTAAAGTAATAATAATGTAACAATATATACAGGGTGGGCCACCAGTAATGCCTCGGTCGCTAGTGACCAAACGGCAAATGTTACAGAAACCTGTTTAGGTGGGTATGTGTAGGTTGATTACGGCTACATTTTAAAAATATTTTGAAATATACAGGGTGTCCAGGAAAAGCGTACCATATCAAAGTTATGTATTTTTAAATGGAACACCCTGTATTTTACTGCATTTTTGAAAGCACCGTAAAAAAATAGGTGAACTTTATTAAAGGTTCTGCATACCTAGGACTTATAGTTTGTGAGATATTTCAATTTTAGTGAAAATGCAAGCATAGCGTAGAAATTTAATATTAGCAATAAAAAAATAATTTTNATAGAGCAATACATTTAACTAGTCCTATTTATAGGCCTAAAATTATAAATAAAATAAAAAACATATTACTAAATAATAATTACCCTCCCAAGTTTTATAACAAAATTATCAAACAAAGAATCTTCAATTTTTATAATACATCCAAAAACAAAAAGCCAATAGATTCTAATCATAACTCTATCAATTTTCAGTATATTGCATTACCATATGTACAATCTTTATCCGAAAATATTAAATCTATTTTATCTAAATACAACATTTTAGGTGCTCATAAATCGTTCAATCAATTAAATAAATGTTTCACACCTTTAAAAAGTAAAACTCCTATACTAAAACAATCTCATGTATATTCTATTCCATGCAATGATTGCAGTGGTATTTGACAAAATTATATTTTTATTAAATTAATTGTAATTACAGGAAAAAATTGTTTCTAAATATTAAGTAGTCTGTTTGTATTTTAGGTTTTATTTAATTAACAATTACAATTTTAACAATAAAAGCCTTTTGAAAAAGTTCCTGATCAGGAACGAAACGTCAAGAAAGAAATAGCTGCTGTTTCTTTTACCTCTTTTTTAACCGACTATCACACCAGAACCCAATTCCCAAGAAAATAAATATATTTTAATATTAGACAAAAGGTTCAAGAAGATTTCCACGTTATATATATATATATATATATCTTTTCTGCGTCATTCCACTTTGCAACCATTCTGCGTCCATTCACTTTACTATTATTTCTGCGTCCGATATACGCGCA